GAAGAGGGAACCCGATCAAGGAGGTAATTTAATCTTCCTCCCTTAACATTGGACTACCTCTTAGTAAAAATACTAATAACACTTGCAATATGTGACAAGTGAACTAACAGCTAGATAGCAAATTAAAAAACGCAAGACAGGATCAGGATATTGCCTGACTTTTGTATGTTTTACATCAGATTCAGGACAGGATGTAATTATGTAGTGTCAGGCACGCCGTAGCTTGGATGATATATAATAACAAACTAATGCAACACTTTATAAGTAGGAAACTATGTCAGAAAGGAAAATTTTTATTTTATTTAACGTATAAACCGACGTTTATGATACATTTTACAGGTACAATAAAACCAATAAACCGCTTATGTGTTGAATAAGTAGATAAGGATGATTTAAAATTTGAACGGATTCAGAAAAGCAAAAGTCAACCCCCTTAAGTATGTTAAATATAAATTAAACATTTTTCTAATTGCGGTTACTATTTGTGTAGTTGTGCATCAAGTAGGTACCTGTAAAATTGCAGAAGAAAATTTTTAAACATACAATTACACAAAACAAAGTATTATTTCACCTTTTTCGGAAGAATTTAACATCAAATATACTCCATTTGCAGACAGTTTCATTATTAATATACCTTAAAACTTACTAGGATATTAAATTTTCATACTTATAATCCAAATGACTATATTTTCTTACCCTGCGCATCCACCAAAATTGAGCTGTGGAATCCGACACCCAGTAAGGTAATTATAGCAAACGTACTCATAGTTTTTAGCATTCTTTCGAGGAACAATCAATAAATTTCTGTTAGATTTGATTACGCCAGACTATTCATTAAGGAATGTGAAGCACATTTTCACTCGTAAATGAGTTATGTTCTAGATAGTTGTTATTTTTTGAAAACATCTTATTTCTAGTTTCTAGTCATGCATTAATTTAATCGTCGGAAGTACGAAAAACCTTTCGAGGGCTTTTCAAACACCACACAATACTGTTTTCAACATTAGTGTGTCACTTTTAAGTTTCAACTTTGTGTCCAGTGTAGAAGAAAAACTATTTTTTAACGAATGCCACAAAAATATTGAGCGCCACTTGTTTTAGGACACTAACGGAATCCTGCGAGATGCAGTATGCGAGTTATGACGGTGGAAAATCAGTCAGTTGACTAGCGAAAAGTATTGTTGTCGTTGTTTTGTGACCGATTGGGAAAATCGAAAGCGCGCCTTTGGAAACTGGACGAACGAAGCGATTTCGGATGAAATCGCTCGACGGAAAGGTCGCGTGCTACTGAGACTTTAAAACACCCAACTGGTAGTTGAGCGTGCGCCAAACGTTCCCTACCACCCGGAATAGGTTGAGGGCGGACGCACCCTATGATGACTTGGCCACCGCTGAATTACAGGTAGCGTATGGCAATTCCCATAAACGCTAAATCAAGCGGAAAAAAGTGCAAATTGGCACTCACATGTTTTTTCAACATCCTAATAGGTTCTTTTTTACTTTTCTTACGTGCGAGGAAAGAAATTCAATTCGAAAAATGGAGATGCTTAGGGGTCTGCGTGCTTTTTTAATCACGCAAAGGTTTATTCAATATCTAGAAGCGAAGAAATTCACAGATCAACGTGAATCAGCAAACTAAGACCAGAGGTGTTCGAATCGGAGGTTCAAAATTGACACAGTATCTCTGATGTTTGAGATATCTTAACATCAAATTTTATTTTGAGCAAGGAAAGAAGACATTTTTTAATGGAATGAGGATGGGCGATCACTCATTACAAATGAAATAATTAATTAAGAAATGAAATATTTTTTGGTTTTTGAATTATTTATTTATAAAATCTATTTCGTTACATGGATTTTAGTTTCATCGGTCTCGTTCGAAACGATTAACAATAGGAGTGATTAATGTTTGTATGTTATTTAATTCTGAATGAGATATTTGCATGAGTACACATTAAAATTTCTCTCAATGGGATTTCCATTGAGTTCGGGAATGGGAATCCCATTGGCAATTCTCCATTTATTACCATTAATTATTATCAATGGTAACTAAATGGCATTTTTCTAATGGAAATTGAATGGAAATTTTTCCTACGGGAAAGATGCTGTATTTTTCTGGAACTGTTAATATTGACTCAGGATGGGAAGGATCCAGACTTGTAAGATACCTGCCTAACCATTTTGTAGACTGACAACACTGTGATGGCTAATGATAGTAGTTTTTGTTACTACCAGAACTGCGAAGTATGTTAAAGAGTACTATTACTGAATAAAGTTCCTTCAGTAGTGTTTTAAATTTGAAAGATGTGGTTGTGTTTTTGTGTATTGTAACAGTTGACCGTTTTCTTCAGAAATGATGAACAGTTTGCGCAAAGTTGTTCCATTTTATATGAAATTCGGACCGTTCGATTACAAAGTTTATGTCAGAAGCGATTTGAATAATGTTCAAAATGTGCGACAGATTTTGGTCCCGAAAACCCGTCCGTCGATGAAATTCAATTACGTGTTCCATCTTGAGCTGCGATAGTTGCCGAAGAAGCAGACAAAAAAATAAAACAAAAAAAAAACAAGAAAGAAAGAAAAAACACAGACAGAAAAAGGAAGACGGAGAATAAGACGAAGTTGATTGCGACAGAAGCGCGCTGGCGTATAATGTGTCAGATCGGAAACTTTATGTTCGTATTTTTCTTTGCCAAACTACTAAACCATTTCAGTTTCCGAACTCGGACGTAAATCTACAGCGATCTGCAACATGTGTTCCCGCGTTCGTCGCGCTCGTTTTGCTCCAGAAGCGAGAATATGAAATTGGTCTTGCATATCTGAAAATCACACGCTGTTTTGTATGCCGACCAGTCGCGTTCGCTGGTGACATTAGCTTTGGCACTTTCCTCATACTGCTTCTCTGCTCACCTTTTGCAAAACCTTTCGGCCGACTTTTATTAAATCTTTTTCACAAGATCACTCTTCTATACTTATGAGCACACAAGTATCTATTGAATCTTGAAACCCTCTATTTTATTTTTAAGGGATCTTACACCATCAGACTGTACAGTTAAAAATTTTAACTGAGTAAATGACGATCACTTGGTTACTAAAGCACATTTAGAAATCCACGCCTGCAAGAACCTTGAATAAGGTCAAAAACAGGAATATTTTTATAGCATCAGACTATTGTCCAAGTCACAAAGTCGTTCATTTACCGAAAAAACAACAGGAGCATTTAATTGACAACTGGTTTGTTTTCAGCGCATTTAATAAGCACTTAACTAGCCACTGTGTGAGTTAAAGGGATATTTTTATTGTTTCAATAATTTTTAGGACCAGAACATTTTTGGTAGTATGTAGTGCACTTAATTAGCATTTAATGGACATTTAATTAGTACTTAGCCGAAATAGTGGTTTTTCATGGGTAACTTGCTTTCGGCCCATTTTATACCAACGTATTGTGATGTGAAATCGTTTATTTACTGAAAAAACAACAACATTTAATTCCAGTGCATTTAATACGCATTTAGTTATTAATATTTTAGTAGCATTTAACTTGCTGTTAGGGTACTTAATTAGCATTAAATGACCATTTATACAGTACATACTAACTGAAACAGAGGGTGTCCTTGTTTTAACCTGCTCCTGGCCCCTTTTATGATACTGCGATATTGTTTATTTACTGAAAGCAATAGGAGCATTTAATGACTCCGACCAAAAAAGATATCTTAATTGTTTAAATAATTTTATTACTCATGCACCGCTTATTTACTCTTTCAATAGCACAACAGTAACTTATGAAAAAATGCCTGGAGCATTTAATATTTCTCATTAAAACACTTAATTTCTGCTTCATTATAATTAGGTTGTCAGTTCTAAGACTAGCTAGACACGCATCTCCACTTTTTCCTATTCTGAGCTAATCTTCGCTAAAACTACGTACTCCTATTAACTCCTGTTTCTGTCTCTAATACGTCTCTGACTAAATGAGGATTTAATTGCGCATGTGTCAGTTTTTGATTATGTTGATTTTGCTCTTTCTACTTAAAGGGTGTACGTTTCGAGACGACTTATCTTGTAAATATTTACACTTATATATTCCCGAGATAAAAATGTTCAATCTCTCAGAGTATCCGAAAGCGAGACTCGAGTCTCTGTCTCTCATCGAGTCTCTTTGGTGTCGCTGAGAGAGGCTGTCAAAAAAACTGTTTAGCGTCTCTGAACGAGAGACTCGAGTCGCTCATAGAGAGATCCTCATTTCGTATCCAGTCTCTGAACGAGAGACTCGAATCTCTGAACGAGAGACTCGAGTCGCTCATAGAGAGATACTCATTTCGTATCCAGTCTCTGAACGAGAGAGTCGGATCTCTGAACGAAAGACTCGAATCTCTAAATAAGTGGTGTCTCGATAGACATGGTTAAAATTAATAAAAGTTCAACATATTTCAGAGATCTCAGTCTTTCTACAAGAGACTCAATTTTTCAGTTTTATTCATCAATCTCTCTGTGAGATTCTCGAATCTCTCGAATTACCAATTTTATCGTTCGAATCTCTCATACAGAGACCGTGAGAGATCCATAAAAACACCTAAGCAATAACTGAGACACTGTGAAAGACTGTGAGAGACACTCTCAGAGACGCTGAAAGACTCTGAGAAACTATAGAGAGACTGAAAATTTTTGTCTAGAGTTTATCAGTTCAAACTATCATGTAATTTAATAGTTAATTTTAATACTTGTAACTGATTTTGTATCACTTTTAAAAGGATTGGTAAGGGATGAGCGAAGTAACTTTTCTAGTCTAGTCGCTTTGTTAAATTTAAAAAGCTCTGATGAATTAACTTTTAAATTGGCCGTTTTAATTGTATAAAGAGCTTTCGCAATGTTTGCCACGTTCGCTAATCTTTACACGTTTGTGAGTTCGGTGTTGAATTTTTATTAGAGCACCAGAGGTATGTTTAAGTTATCAGGCGTTCTCCGCATTTTTCCTATTCAGTCTCGTACTTTTCCGTACGTATATTGTTATAACTGGATTTTCAATCCTTAATCCCTCTAGTTTATGGATTTAAATCATCATAACACTCATGATTCGTTCATAATCCTTTTATACCGGATAATTACCCTAATTCACAGTTTAATTATTCAGTATCTAGCAAACGGTTTTTAAATTAATAAATAATCTGTAGGTACATAAGCTTATAATTTAGGATATTGTCAGATTTAATTTTTAATTATTAATTGTTTGCGCATCAAAGGTAAAATGTAATTAGAAAAATGATAAATATATAATAAGCCACTCAAACTGCTTCGACCATCCACATAAAGCCTAAATAAATAATTCTTATGAGGGGTAATTAAATTTTTATTGACGACAATCGATAGTAGATTTCAACCTTCCAAAAATAATAACTAATCAACTAAGACGTAATCATCATTATGAGCTATAATAAACAATAGAATACAGTTAATTGTAGGTGTTTTTTATAGAAAAAAAACATCATTTATGTAGGTATATAATGTTTCTTCCGTTCTAGAAACTTCCTCTAATATAATTAGGCTACTTCTTTATATTATTTATTAATAAGAAACGAAATAAAACAGCGGAGCTTTTTAGCGCTGTTATATTTTTTTTGCCGGTGGTTAATAATATTACGAAAGCAGTTCCTAATTTTCTTTGAGTAAACGACATAAACAACTTCCATTTGTAATTCATTCCTGGAACCATTAGGTAAATGGCATCCGGGACAAAAGAAATATTTTATATGAAATACGAACAAACCAATTGACAAAAATTGATATAAATGGACCTTTTATTACTTTCTACACGGTTAATATTTCTGATATAATGAACCATAAAGATTATAGAAATGTGTCAGCCAGCTTACTACTCGAGCCCGTCCAAATTTCTACTTCACAATTTAAAAGTTAAACCTTATGTAGTCTGAATTATTTAAGATTCAACAAAACAATTAGCCTTATCAATGGAGTATTGCTCAGCTACTTGATAAGCAATTATTAGTGATGAGTAAAATTGACCTTAGTCTTCCATTATTGATCTTGATGTTACGAAAATGTAAGACCAATACCATGATTGCCTTTATACTAGACCTAGACTAAAACGAAGACCTAATATGCAAGTTCAAGACCAAATACTCAAGACTAATCGAAGGATTATTACTTCCGGTGG